GGAAGAGGAAAAACGGCTTGATCATTGAAGCAGCACTATGTTACCCCTCCACACCAATGTGTTTTTTGTTTTGTTTTGTTTGTACCAGGGATCGAACTCCAGCCCTTGCGGGGAAGGGGGCAGAACCACTGAGCCAAATCCCTGGCCTCCAACAATGGATTTTAGAGCACACCTTTCTCACGTGGTGTACAGTTAATATTCAGGTGCTGGGGCCACCATTTGAAAGAAGAGGGCATTCAGCTGGCACAGTGGCACCTGCCTATAGCAGCACTGAGAGGCTGAGGCAGGAGGAGCCCAGGTTTGAGTCCCACCTAAGCAATTTAGCAAGGCCTCATCCCAAAATAGAAAATAAAAAGGGAGCTGGGTGTGGTGGCTCATGCCTGTAATCCCAGCACTCAGGGTGCTGAGGCAAGAGGATCCCCCCGAGTTCAGATGCCAGCCTGGGCTCCCGTGAGTTCAAGGTCAGTCTGGACTAACGTAGCAAGGCCTTGTTTCAAAAACAAAACAAAATTTTCTGTACATTTGGTTTCATCCTGGGGTGGGGGGCTTGCTCTCCAGTGCCTATGAAGTCCATTCACGGTGCTCACCAGCTCTCTGACCCTGTGTTTCAGTCAGAAATCTCACTACCCGGCTGGGCATCAAAGATGGCAAAGCACTGGAAGGAGACTGGCCAGGCTGTCCTCTCCAAAAGGCACCAACTGTAGTTTCCACACTGTCCCTGCCCGGTCCCCCTCTGTCCCTCACGGTGTGTGTCTTGTGTGGTCAGGCTTCTACACGTCCGCCACTAGTGGTAGCAGCGTCACTGATCTCTCTCCCCACATCGTATCCACAGAAACCAAAAAAAAAAAAAAGTCAGCCCTCCCCTCCACGCCTGGCCTTCACAGACGCGGACGTGGAGTCAACCCCTCTGGACGAAAAGTGTGGGAAAAGAACTGCGTCTGGACGGGACATGCACAGACCCTGTTCCCATCCCCGTGCCCTGGACAGCACTCATATTGTGGTAGGTGTGCGTTCTAAGGAACGTCGAGATGATTTTAAAGCATGGCAGGACGCCGTGGTTAGGTGCAAACCCTATATCATGACACACGGGACTTCGGCACCTACAGACTGTGGTGTCTGGGGGGGTCCTGGAGCCCCTTCTGGGGGACGTCTAGTGACTCTGAAACTGAGGCTGACAGCAAAGTGTAACGTCTTCTTTTACTTGAGAGGTTTATAAGCAAAGAATAACAGAAGTGTACGTCCTCACATGTTACAAAAATTTTATGTTTTCATCTCATTTGGCTGTTGGTTGGGGGCACATCATTTTTAGCCGAACAAAACTGCAATATTGCAAACATTACAGCACTTTTTTTTTTTTTTTTTTTT